TCACAATTGTATACCACTTTGTGTTGGTCTTTCACATTAAATTCCAGTGAAATATATTTATGTTTGTGGTTGTAATGTGACAAAATATGGAAAAYTTCAAGGGGTATGAATACTTTCGCAAACCACTGTATATTATTACATTTGGGTAAATGTGCAGCACTATGTGGCCCTCTGGTAGTGTCAACAACAAATTGTGGCCCCGTCCATTATTTAAGATGCATGGAAACCCACATATGTCTATGACTGTGTGGGATTCAGATGTGAGCAGAAACTCAGACATGTCCTCTCACCTTGTGCACAAACTGCTCTACTCGAGTCTGAAGACCCCACACCTCAAACTTGACTGTGACTAGTTTGTATGAGCACATGATGGGTTCCTGCGTGTCCCTCCAGCCTTCCTGCAGCAAGCCCCTCGATGTCTTCTCCGATTTGAAATATCGCAGGTCCTGTAGTTGTACAGGAAAAGAAAAACCTAAATTCAAACCAGAATTCTCACATCAAGGTTCATGGAAAATCCCAATCTAGGATAACAGTTGAACCAATCTGAGTTTAAAGTGTCTCAGACGTGCATATCCTTCAAATGCAAAAGGTTACAGAAAACATCTTTATATTTAAGAAACTTGGCATAATACACATGATTTTACCAATTTGTCACATAACTGGCATATTTTCTTTTGAACTTGACTCAGCCACAGTGAAACAGGAAGTGACATCAAAAGATAACTGATATTTTTCCATTGAAAGAATATAATATAAACTCTGACTTTTCATCTCTGATGAAAATAATCTAAACATCAAATTCTTCTCTAGTGTGTTGCTAGCCGTTGTAGCAAAGCTTTGCTCACAGGATGTCATTGCTCCTCGTCATTACTTGCAGTTTGTACACATGCCTAAATTTCAATAACTCTTAATCTCAGCTCTTTTTCTCTTTCTAAAAATGAAAATCACATTTATTAAAAAAATATTCAAGCCACAGGCACTTCAAACAGGTAGTAATATGATTATCAGCCTTTCCAGACAATATTTAAAACCAGAGAAGTATTTAAAGTAACACAAGCAGGAGCTAGACAAGTACAATTTACTTTTTACTTTAATTTGTCATTGCCATAACAGTTATAAATAGCAAAAGAATTGATGGTTTAATTAAGGTCTAAAGTTAAAATATTTTATGTTAAAGAAATTTTAAAATTAATATATTATGTATGTATTTCACTTATGAAGATACTTGTAGGGCTACATAATGTTTTTCACAGGAGTCCAGGAAAACACTAAAATAAAAACCCTCACCTCAGACTCTTTATAATAGCGCTCTGGGATTTCATCATAGACGATGTCAACAAAGCAGACCTCCCTCTCTTGGTCCTTCAGTTCAGTTTCAAAGATCTGTAAAAAAGAACAGATTTTTCAGATGTTCACTGAAGATTTGATGTCCCTGTTATCTGACTGTCATATGTTACACTGTATTATCCCAAAGCTGTTCTAACAGGCGTGCATCATCTTTACAGCCAGTAGGGGTCGCTCTATGCTCACATCTCAAGTTCGGACTTGCAGTAAATGACACAGGGCTGACTTCAGTAACTATGACATATGCTCAGTCAGATGATACTGCAAAAAGTAAGAGGATGACTTCAGCTTCACTCTTTGTTGGTATTTTTTTTTATTTGTTACCCTTTATTGTATGTTAAACTGCCAATTACATGAAACTTTTCATTTTACCATATTACAATGTAGGAAGTAAAATAAAAACATTAACAAATAGATTCATTCATGTATTTGTAAGTTCATCCTAGGCTGTGTGTTTGATTTTTGGGATTAGATTTATTCAGCTACAGCATATATA